TACCACATAAACAAACGTTTTATAAACGGCATATCACTACAGACCAAATGAAGCTACATTTCTCCCTCTTGCCATACCTTACTAGTCGGCTTTTTCTCCTCTCCTTTCTCTCCCTCCGTTGTTTTACGATTCAGTTTTTGGCGTAAACTGTTAAACGTTTTTTTTTCCTCGCTCGCTGTCGCCGTCAGTCAGTAAGAAATAATTATGGAGGAGGATGTAATCAAATTAGGATACATTAATAATATAAACTACTGTAAACAATTTAAGATCGTATGCTGTACTTCGAATTTTATTGTTGATACACAGTAAATATGATGTTTATGTGAGTTCATAGCAACATGAATTACTTGACCTCCGTTAAATAATTCTCGATGTTCTTGAACGATAGGTGCTCCATAAATTTTCGTACATAATCATCTAAAATCAATAACGCATTCAATTTGTCTTACCAAATTATAATAGTTGGTGGCTTAAGCAGGAATAAATTATCACGTATCACGTTGTAAAGTGTTATGGCAGAACATGTAATGACCCAAAGATGTCAGACACCATAGTATTTTTTTAAGAAAAAATCATACGTTTCGCATGCACTCATTCGCATGTTGCCTTTTAGTGATCCACTATCTATTAACAAACGAACCGAAGAAATCAAGTATAAGAAAGTACTTTAAATAGTCTTTGTCTCTTCGCGCTAAGATGAACGGGTTGGAATCAGGGTGGGGGGTGGAGGGGGGGTGGGGGAGCCTTCGCCAAGAATAAGCTTCGGAATCAAAATGAGCTTAGAAATTAAAGTTTAATCAATGGGACCAACGGTGCTTCAAATGGAGGCTGCTAACTTAAATAATATTCAATTTAAAAGGGATTCGACTAAAGGCCCTTTCACGTACATGTAAAGGGTTTCTCTCTCTCTCTCTCTCTCTCTCTCTCTCTCTCTCTCTCTCTCTCTCTCTCTCTCTCTCTCTCTCTCTCTCTCTCTCTCTCTCTCTCTCTCTCTCACACACACACAACATTCCCTCCCTCCCTCCATCCATCCATCCATCCATCCATCCTTCCTTCCTTCCTTCCTTCCCTTCCCTTCACTTCTCGCTGTTCTTTCTCTCCCACCCCTTCCACTTCCTCGCTCCTCTTCCTCCCTCCTCTTCTTCCCCTTCTCACTCATCTTCTCTTCCCCCCCCCTTCCCCTTCCCTCTCTCCTCCGCCTCCCCCCCCCCCTCCCAGCCGGGCCTAATCCGCGCGCGCATAAAAGACCAAAAGATTGAACGTAATCGCGATCCGAGACGATTCTTAATGACGTCACGCATTTATCATGAGTAATGCTAGTGTTAATTAAAAGTTTTCCTCAATCAAATTTGTCTCGTGCTGCGATTAACGCGTCAATTATCTTAATAATGGGAGGGGCTCTCGGCCGGATTATTATTCAGGATCTAAGGCTATACGTGCGCTGCTTCCTGTAGGCGCGGGCGCGTCGGTGCAGTGGGAGTGTGTTGTGTGTGTGTGTGTGTGTGTGTGTGTGTGTGTGTGTGTGTGTGTGTGTGTGTGTGTGTGTGTGTGTGTGTGTGTGTGTGTGTGTGTGTGTGTGTGTGGTGTGTGTGTGTGTGTGTGTGTGTGTGTGTGTGTGTGTGTGTGTGTGTGTGTGTTGTGTGTGTGTGTGTGTGTGTGTTGTATTCTTATTGTTACGTCGGTGGCATCTTATTCGTTATGGCATCTATTTTTACGTCGGTGGCATCTTACTGGTGTATGGCATCTTACTGTTACGTCGGTGGCATCGTATTTTTACGTCGGTGGCATCTTATACGTCGGTGGCATCTTATTGTAACGTCGGTGGCATCGTATTTTTACGTCGGTGGCATCGCGCTCTGTCGCTGGAAATACTAGCGCGTGCAATACAATATTCAGCTCAAGTTCTCCTTTGTTTCAAAATTAGCTAAAATTTCTATTTGTCCTTTAATGCAGTCGTCATTCAATATATATCATGAAATTATCAATTTACTTACCAATCTATTTCCGCACCTTATCAACTAATTTATTTGTCAATATAACAATCTATCTGATCTATTCATCAATTCACTGATTAATTTCTCAATTCGTACATCTATCATCTATCAAGTCAATCCATCATTCACCTATTCATTAATTTATTCTACCGATTAATCACTCAACTTCTCTACTGGTTTGTCAGTCTAATTCACAATTCATTTACTTATCTATTCGCCTTTCTATTTATCATTCACAATTCATTTCTTTCATTCCTTATTCAATAACCGGTCGCCATAACAACACTCTCTGCCTCGTCATTTATCTAACCATATATCTTAAAACTTTATTCTAATTCTTCAATGTTTTTCTGCTTCTGCTTAAATGCGTATCGCTTTTGCTTTTTATCTATTTATCTATTGGTGTGAAGACTTATTTCTTATCGACTGACCGGTTTAATTCAATATGTATCTAAAATATTTTTTCTTTCACAACTCATCTCATTCCTTATTCTTGTACTGATCTTTTCTTTAACTCATTTCCCCATTTGTTATTCACATGCTTTATCATATATGTATCACTCCATGTATCAAATTATCTATTGTATTATATTTTGCCAATATACCATATTTCACTGCGTTATTTCATTCTTATCCATTTATGGTATATTACTTGTATCTATACCTATTCAATTAATATCTCAACGAACTGTCTATGCATCTACCATTACAGTCATACAAAAAGCAATGCATTATTTGCACAAGACGCAGTATACAAGTTATGCACTTTACACAAGACCCAATATGTCAATTCAACCAGGAAAAAAATACACTTACTGAAGTGAAAACATTACTAACAAACAGACACTTTCAGAACCCCCATCTCCACGTAGAAAAAACGCAGAAAAAAAAAATAAAAAAACTAAAAAAATAACATTGTTTACACTGCAACTACATTCTCTAGTCGCACCCCCTTCCCCACCCCACCCCCTAGGCTATCACGTGGCTCGGGACAGCCTCGTAAAACAATATAAAAATAGTAAAAGGTAATCCAATCACAGAGGTTAGCGCGTCTCACAACAGCAAGTCACAATATCGGATGGGGGAGAGAGGAAGAGAGAAGAAGAGAGACAGCGAGGGAGAAGAAGAGGGAGGGGGAGGTTAGAAGAGGAAGGGGGAGAGGAGTGGTTGATGGTGATGGAGCGAGGGAAAAGGAAGGGAAGAAAGATAGAGAAAGAGGAAGACAGAGAGACTGAGGCAAGGGATAGAGAAAAAGAGATGGAGATAGAAAAAGAGATTAGTAAGAGATAGATAGAAAGATAAAGAGAGAGGAGAGAGCAGGAGGGAGAGGGAGAAGGGAGGAAGAGAGGGAGAAGGGGAGGAAGAGAGAGAGATAGAATGAGAGAGAGAAAATGAGAGAGAGAGGAGAGAGAGAGAAGAGAGAATGAGAAAAAGAGAAAAGAGAAAGAGAATGAGAAAAGGAGAAAAAGAGAGAAAGAAAAGGAGAAAGAGAGAATCAACTCTCGTGATACAGGCGCTAGTGTCACTGTAATTAACTTATTGAGAAGCGGAAGCCTCTAATTAATCCGACTTTTCCCACGGCGGACGGGACAGAGGTGCCAGATAAATAAACATTAGCTTGACTTTACCTTAGCGTCTTAGGTGATGCACGGCGCCCATTACTTAAAGGCTCACCTCGCATTACATGATGGGCCGCCTCCAGGGGCTCCGCTCTCGTTGCCTCCTCTCGCTCTCTCTTTCTCTCCTCTCTCTCTTCTCTCTTTTCTCTATCTGCATTTTTTATCTCTCTCCCGTCCTTCTTCTACTTCTCTATACTTCTCTCTCTTCTTCCTTCTCTCCTCTCTCTCTCTCCTCTCTCTCTCTCTTTCTCTCTCCTTCTCTTCTCCCTCCTTCTCTCTTTTTTCTCTTCTCTCTCTTTCTCTCCTTTCTTTCTCTCCTCTTTCTCTCCTTCTCTCTCTCTTTCTCTCCCTTCATCTTCTCTTTCCTCTCTTCTCTCTCTCTCTTCTCTCTCTTTCTCTCTCTTTTTCTTCTCTCTCCTTCTTCTCTCCCTTCTCTCTCTTTTTTCTCTCTCCTTCCTCTCTCTCTCTCTCCTCTCCCTTCTCTCTTCTATCTCTCTCTCTCTCTCTCTCTCTCTCATCTCTCTCTCTCTCTCTCTCTCTCTCTCTCTCTCTCTCTCTCTCTCTCTCTCTCTCTCTCTCTCTTCTCTCTCTCTCTCTCTCTCTCTCTCTCTCTCTCTCTCATCTCTCACTTTCTCCTCTCTTTCACGTTTTTTACTCTTTCTCTCTACCACTTTGGCTATCATGTACCTCGTCTTTTTCCCCCTTTTCTATCTCCTATCCCCTCTCTTCCTTTTACATTTGTAAGAGAGAAAAAAAAGAAGAAAAAAGACACAGACGGAAGAGAAGAAAAGTCAACATTCAGCTATCTGTAAAAGCTTGATATTACGTAAGCAATAGTATGTAAATACCAAACAGCACAAACTCTCTCTAATTCTTTTCTTTCTTTTTTTTTCTCTTTCCTTTTTCTTTTTTTTTTGTGACGGGTCCCTCCCCCGCGCGCTTGATATATGTCGAGCGCCTCGGACGAGCCGGCGCGCATGGGTCCGTTTGCGCGGGGCCAACTGGTGGGGACTCCGTGATGTTGTTTGAGGAGGGTTCTATTTTGGCGGACCACCATTTTGTGAGTGTATATTTTTGTTGAAGGTACGCCGGGACAGTTTAGTCAGCGTGGAGGGGAATCGGACGAGAGCAGTGCGATACAATGGTATATTACACGGAAAAGCTATGTTTTTTCTTTTTGTTTATTACCTTTTTTGATCTATCTTTTTTATTTATCTTTTTTTTGTTCTATTCTTCTCTCTCTGGATAAATGTATAGGGAGATAGATACTGATATATATGCAGAGGATACGATAGAACAGATAACAACGAACAGATCAGACATAGAGAGAATGTGATTTCTATGCGCTTACACACATCACAACATGCAAGTGAATACACTCTTATAGCATAAAAAACAACATTTCGGGCGCAAGGAACACAACTCCCCCCAGACGGATGACCAAAGATTTGGGCCAACGAACAAAGCACAACACTCCGCCGACAACCGGCTTCCCTCCACTCCATCTCCCAGCTCCAATGCGGCAACCTCCCCCACAACGGCTTCCTCCCACTCCATCCCCAGCCGGGCCACCTCCCCCACAACCGCTTCCTCCACCTTCCATCCCCAGCGACACTCCCCACACTGGCTTCCTCCACTTCCATCCACCCAGCGACACCCTCCCCCACAACCAAGGCTTCCTCCACCTCCATCACCAAGCGACCCTCCCCCACAAACCGCTTCCTCTCATCCACTTCCCCAGCGACACCTCCCCCAAACTGGCTTCCCTCCACTCCTATCACCTCAGCCGACACCTCCCCCACTGGCTTTCCTCCACTCCATCACCAGCGACTCCGTCCCCCACAACTGGCTTCCTCCACTCCATCCCAGCGATACACCTCCTAACACTGGCTTCCTCCACTTCCATCCCAGCGACACCTCCCCCACAACCGGCTTCCTCCACTCCATCCCCAGCGCACCTCCCCCACAACCTAGCTTTCCTCCACTCCATCCCAGCAGCACCTCCCCCACAACGGCTTCCTACTTCACTCACTCCATCCCCAGCGACACCTCCCCAACTGGCTTCCTCCACTCCATCCCCAGCGCTCCCCACACTGGCTTCCTCCACTCCATCACAGCGACACCTCCCCACAACGGCTTACTCACTTCACCCCAGCGGCACCTCCCCAACATGGCTTCTCCACTCCATCCCCAGCGACACCTCCCCCACAACTGGCTTCCTCCACTCCATCCCCAGCGACACCTCCCCCACAACTGCGGTTCCTCCACCCCAGCGACACCTCCCCACAAGCTTCCTCCACTCCATCCCCAGCACACCTCCCCCACAACCTGCACTCCATCCCCAACCTCCCCCACAACGGGCTTCCTCCACTCCATCCCCAGCGGCACCTCCCCCACAACCGGCTTCCTCCACTCCATCCCCAGCGACACCTCCCCACAACTGGCTTCCTCCACCCCATCACCAGCGAACCTCCCCCACAACTGGCTTCCTCCACTCCATCCCCAGCGACACCTCCCCCACAACTGGCTTCCTCCACCCTCCCCAGGACACCTCCCCCACAACCGGCTTCCTCCACTCCATCCCCCACAACCGGCTTCCTCCACTCCATCCCCAGCGACCAGGAGAGCACCACCTTCCCCCTCCAACAGGGACGAGAGAGCATCGCAAAGCCTCGCCACAGCCAGGTGCGTGAATGCAAGAAAACCTCGCGGGGTGAAAAAGGAGTAGCATCACAGGAGAGACCACGGGACGGGGTGAGTCATCGCTCGAGAGACAGAAAGAGAGATGGAGAGACAGTAAAACGATGGAAAAGATATTCAAATATATACTGCAGAAGGAAGAAGCAACACAAAAAAGAAAAAAAATGATGAGCAACGCCATACGCCGAGAAGAGAAGAAACAAAAATAAAGAATACAAAAAACACACCGAGAGGAGAAAGAGCAAATCAACACGGCTAGGAAGGAAGCAACGCCACGCACTGGCAAGAGAAAAAGCAACACCTTTGATGTGAAGGCGAAGGGAAGCAACGCATCACAACCTCGGGAGAAAGGCAACACCAGACTCATTGAGAAGAAGCGGCAAGCACGACGCATACTGGCGAGACGCGACGGCAGGATGACGGCACTTCGCACTTCAAGGGCCGTTCGGGAGGAGGAGAAGCAGCAACGCACGCGGGCGAGGGGGAGGAAGCAACACGACACACCTTCAGAAGCAACACCAGCGCGGCCGAAGGAGGGGAGGCGGCAGCACACGGCGCGGGGCAGTATTTCAATGGAGTGGCGAGGTTTTACGGGTCCCCGGCGGCCCTCCGTCGGCCGTCACGACCGTGCCCGCCTCTCTTTGTGCCCTCATCACAGCCCTCGCCAGCCCCCGGCCCCCTCCCTAATGCTCTTTCATCCCCAACCCCTGTAATTTCAACCTCATTCCCCTTCTCCTCTTCCACCCTGAACCTCCTTCATGCCAACCCTTAACCTAGTCCTCGTCTTTTCCTTCTAAACTTCTTCAGCTTCAACCCCTTCGCCCTGCCTTCGCCTACCTCCCCCCCCCCTCGCCAACTTCGCCTCCTCCTCCTCCGCTTCGTCGAACCTCACCTGTACCCACAGATTTCCCTTCGCTTACCGCGCGTTCTTCTCCTCTAATCTCAACCTTCCCTTTCTCCCTATTTCTTCACCATTACCCCCCGCCTACCCCCCTCCCATTCCTCCTTCTAAATCTCCTCTCCGACCTCAGCTCTCTTCTCTCTTCCTCCTCATCTGGTCCGCCCCATTCCCCCCTCCCCTCCCTCCTCTTCCCACCTGGCCCCTGACCCCCACCCTATTCACCCTCCCTCTCCCTCACGAGTCCATCCTTCCACCCCCTTAGCCTTCCCCCCTCCCTGCTCCATCCCCATAGCACCCCCTCCCCTCCTTCCCCTCACCAGCAGCGCCCGCCTCATCATCAATGTGTGCTCAACGTGAGACCCCCATTATCACCCCCCCCTTCCCCCCGCCATCCCCCCCCTCATCGTCCACTCTCCCCCACGCCCCTGATGAGCACGGGATCCCCCTCATGTCGCCCATGATGATCCTGAGGAGTCTGTAATGGGTATGAGGTCCCCGTGGAGATGAGACTTTCTAATTAAATCGAATTTGTCTTTTTTCCTCTCTCTCTCTCTTTCTCTTTTCTTTTGTTTTAATCCTTTCTTTTTTTTCTTTTTTTTTCTTTTCTCTCATTCTTATCCTTAATTGTTCCTCTTCTTGAGCTTTGCTTCTTTAAGTCCAACTTAATTCCATTATCATACTAATTTTCTCCCCCCTCCTTCTTGCCTTCTTACTTCGCACATTTCCTAACGTCGTTTTATTTTTCTTCTATCTTTTCTTTGATCATGTTTTTCTCTTCGTTGTCTTTTTTTATTTTCTCATATTTCCCTTCTTATTGACGTCTCCTCGCGGTTATCCTTTTTTCTTTTTCTTTTTTGCTTTCTTTCTCTCTTTCTTATCATATTTTTCTCGTCGTTGTCTTTTTTTTTCTCATATTTCCCCTCTTCTCGACGTCTCCTCGCAGTTATCTTTTTTTGTTTCTTTCTTTCTTTATTGTTTTTATTTAACCTGTTCTTGGACTATTTACACACGTCTTAGTCTGCGTCCGCTCGAGGTCATATTAATTCCTAAGCTGGCATCTGTTTCCTAACTAACTAACATTCCCAGGCTGATGCCATTCCTAAACCGGTTCCAATTCTCAGCTGACTTTTATTCCGAACTGACGTCCATTCCCAAACTGACGCCCATATCTCAGCTGACCCCGAGCTCCAGGCTGACATCAATTCCCAGCCGACAGCCAATCCTCGCTCGCTGTTTACCCGCATTCGGCAAGCCCATTCCTAAGCTGACGTCCCTTCCCTGACGTCCCTTCCCTGACGTCTATCCCCAAGCCGATGCCTCCGCTCAGCCGGACGTCCGCCCTGGCCCCTCGAACGCCAAGCCGAACACAGCCCGTCATCCGAAAACGAGAATCGAACCCTGAACGAAGCCGTCCCCTGATCATGCCGTTCCGACCCCCACCCCCCACCCCACCCCCACTCGCTCTCCCCGCTCCTCCCAGCACCCCCAGAAGGGAAGGCGCGCGCCCCCTTGTCCCTGATGAAAAGCGACTCAAGTTGAAGTTGAACCTTAGCTTGCGTGGGGATGGAAGGGGGGGAGGGAGGGAGAGGGGGGGGATCAGGGGTCAGAATGTGCAGATAGACGCAGTGGGGTCCGTCCGAGGTAATGAAACATTTAAACATTTTCCGACGTAGGAAGGGAGGGAGGGAGAGACGCAAAAGCCTAGAAGCAAGGAGGTAGGGAGGGGAAGGGGAAAGGGAGGGGAAGGGAATGGGAGAGGGGAAACGAAGGAATGCTGTTATTATATTCTTTTTCTGAAAATGACGTCCTTTCCTTCCAATTTGCGGTTTATATATATATATTTTTATGTTTATTTCACATAATGATCTTTCCTTTATTTTCCGTTTCCTCGGCTACAATCCTTGCTTTTTTATCTTAAGCTTCATATCAGAGTTTTCCTTCTCCATTTGCATATTATACTTCCTACTCTGAAATTTAGCTCATGATTTTATTGTGTCTACTCTTCTCTAGAGATTAGCTTTGTTAGTCTCTCTCTCTCCTCTTTTCCCTCTCTCTCTCTCTCTTTCTTCTTCTCCCCTCTCCCCTCTCTTTCCCTCTCCCCCTAGCTCTCCTTTTCTCCCTTTCCATTTATCTCCCCTTGCCTTCTCTCTCTTTTTGCCCTCTCCCCCTCTCTCTTTCTCCCCTCTCCCCCTTTCTATTTGTAATCCTCTCTCTCGTCCTCTTTCTCTCTTAATCACTCTCCCTCGATCCTTCCTTAATTTCTCTCTCTGCCTCTTTCTCCCTTATTCGTTCATTATCTTTCTTATTTTCTCTGTCTCGAATCTTCTTCAATTTCTCTCTCTCATTTACTCGCTCTATGCTCTCTTTACAATCTTCCTTGATTTCTCCCTCTCTATCTCTCTTATTTGCTGTCTCCGATTTTTCTTAATTTCTTCTTCCCACTTCTCTTCTCATTTCTTTCCTCCCCTCTCCTCTCCTCCCCACCCCTCTCCTCCTCCTCCCTCACCTCTCCTCTCCTCTCCTCCCCTCCCCTCCTCCTCTCCTCCCCTCTCCTCTCCTCCCCTCCCCTCCCCTCCCCTCCTTCCCCTCCCCTCTCTTCCCCTCCCTTCCCCTCTCCTCTCCTCTCCTCTTTTCTCTCTCCCTCTCGCATCGTATCATCTTACACTTTACCTCCTCCTTTCCACAATTGGAAGCGAAAGAAAACCCAAAAGGAAGTGGAACAAAAACAATTCCTTTCGCGCGGCATATCGCCCAGAAGGAAGATATGGATTTATGTAGTTAATTCC